TCTTTATTATTGCTCAGTATTGCTCAGGTGAAGGACACCTGGGTTGTTTTCACATTTTGGCTATTATGAACAGAGCTGCTATAAATGTTTCTGTGCTGGTTTTTATGTAAACATAAGTCTTCGTTTCTCTAGGATAAATTCCTAGAAGCATTGTTCTTGAATTGTATAGTAGTTGCATGTTTGGTATTTAAAGAAACTGCCAAACTGTTTTCCATGGTGACGGTATCATTTTACATTCTCATATACGCAATGTATGAATGATCCAATTTCTCAGCATCCTCTTCAACATTTGGTGTTGCCATTTTTTTGTTGTTGGGTGATGTATTCTGTTAGATAGGTAGTAATATCTTACTGTGATTTTAATTTGTATTCCCCTAATGGCTAGTGATGCTGAACATTTTTTCTTAGAATTATTTGTCTCCTATATATCCTCTTCTGTGAAATGCTTCTTCATGTCTTTTTCTGATTTTCTAACTGGATTGTTTTTGACTGTTGAATTTTGAGGGTTCTTTGTATATTTTAGATACTAGTCCTTTATTGAGAATGTGGTTTATATTTTTTCCCTTTCTATAGCTTGTTTCCTCATCCTCTTAACAAGGTCTTCTGCAAAAAAAATTTAATATTGATGAAGTTCACTTGGTCAGTTTTTCCTTGTATGGATCATTCTTGTGATGTCAAATCTAAGCATTATTTTATCTAGCCCTATATCCTAAAGTTTATCTCCTAGGTTTTCTTCCTAAAAGTTTTAGTTTTATATTTTACATTTAAGTCTTTGAACCGTTTTGAGTTAATTTTTGCATAAGCTGTGCCAGATAATTCTAACATTCTTTTATCTCAATGTTGACACTGATTCAGTCCTTTTTCATTCAATTTGAGATCTTCCTGGTTCTTGTTATGATAAGTGACTTTCAGCTGAAGTCTGGACATCCTGATTTTATAAGACTCTGCATCTTACTTAAACTTATTGTTTCAGCTGGCTTTATGGGATACCACTTGGCAGCAGAAGGGGGTGGGTGTTATGTCATTATGGCCTGACATAGAAATTCGCATTCCCCATATTGTCTTCAACACTGACCATTGAGCGGGAAAGCACCTGGTCCCTATTTGGCTTTATCTCAGAGAGGTATTAGGGCACCTGTGCACAGCTTCGTGAGAGTGCCAGTCTCAGCTCTGCATTGCTGTGGGTGAGGCCACAGTTTTTTATGGTGTTCAACTGGACTAGACCAGTTATGACTGAAAGTTTTGTCCTGGTAAACTGCCCCTTTCCTGATCCTTTGGCCAAAGAGTGTAGGCTTTTTTGGGGGATTTTTGTTTGTAATTATTGGTGTTTCAGGGTGGCCAGCTTCTCCAACTCCAGGTGTGGGATATCTGAAACAGAAAGAAATCCCAGAGAACTAAATATTATGTCCCTCAGGTCCCAAAGTCCCTGGTCAGATTGCTCTCTTTTCTCCACCTTCAGACTCTTCTTCTGTTTTATATGTGATAGCAAGGTTTTTATTTATTTATTTATTTTTTTAATGAAATTTATTGTCAAATTGCTTTCCATACAATACCCAGTGCTCATCCCAACAGGTGCCCTCCTCAATGCCCATCACCCACCCTCCCCTCCCTCCCACCCCCCATCAACCCTTA